GCCCTTGCCAGGCCCATCCTGGGCCTTGGACTGGTGCATGGACCCCCCAGGCCTCGGACAGGAGGGCCTGCACACCAGTCCAGGGCCCAGGAGGGGCCCTGCCAGGGCTGGTGGTGGTGTATTGTTTGGAGCTCTTCTGGGGGGGGGGGGGGCCCACGCCGCAGCTTGTTGGGAGGAAGGGGAGGACAAGGAGCAGTGTGAGCTCAAGTCGGGCCTGTCCCTCTGCAGGGGGGAGGTTCAAAAGTAGTAAGAAAATAGAGTGGGGACGATTTTTGGCAATTGTCGGCCATATTGGAGCATTTTTGGGGTATTGTTTTTACTTGTTCGTCCAAAATCCCCCTGTAGGGGGACACGCCCGACTTGAGTGTAAACCCCAGAGGTATCGACGATGCTGCAAGAAACCCTCCCTGCCAGTTCCCTTTTCACAGGGCCCTACAATAACTTATCCGTAAGGGCTTCGCCCCCTGCCGCCGGAACCCTCCCTCGGAGAATGGGCCATGGAAGAGCTAAGTCATGAGGTCTTGGCGCTGTCGTGAAGCAGTATCGAAACTTCATGCGAAGCCGATTCGCAATCAGCAAAACCAACTGATCACAAGAGGGGTTACCACACCTGGCGATTGGTAAGACGTGTATGGTTTACGGGCTTGGTTACCACACCTTGCGATTAAAGGGCCGAGGGAGTTCTCGCAGTTTGGGTTACCACGCCTTGCGATGGATGTGCGTGAAGGGTGGCACCGAATTTCAGAAATGTGGCAAATCCCCTGTGTTTTTGGACCCTGACCCCGCGGATCTGCGTAAGGGGTGGCGCCGAATTTCAGAAATTTGGCGAATCCCCTGTGTTTTTGGACCCTGACCCCGCGGATCTGCGTGAGGGGTGGCACCGAATTTCAGAAATGTGGCAAATCCCATGTGTTTTTGGACCCTGACCCCGCGGATCTGCGTGAGGGGTGGCACCGAATTTCAGAAATGTGGCAAATCCCATGTGTTTTTGGACCCTGACCCCGCGGATCTGCGTGAGGGGTGGCACCGAATTTCAGAAATGTGGCAAATCCCATGTGTTTTTGGACCCTGACCCCGCGGATCTGCGTGAGGGGTGGCACCGAATTTCAGAAATGTGGCAAATCCTATGTGTTTTTGGACCCTGACCCCGCGGATCTGCGTGAGGGGTGGCACCGAATTTCAGAAATGTGGCAAATCCCATGTGTTTTTGGACCCTGACCCCGCGGATCTGCGTGAGGGGTGTCGATTTCGAGCCCCCCCAGCAATTCAGACAACGCGCCCAGGGGACGCTAAAAATCCCGTTTGGGCCTCCCCCCCCCTCGCGCGGTCAATCAACTAGTTACAGTAACCAGCAAGAAGTCAACTAGTTACAGTAACCAGCAAGAAGCAGAACTGTAACACTGGAAACTACAAACTACAACTGGTACAGGAAACTGCGAATCACGCGCCTCGCAGCCTGGTGGCCCCACAAGGGGGCCGGCGGATTCTCACTGTGTCGAAGGTTGATAGACCTCCTACCCTGACACTTCGATTACCGAGTTGGTAGTTTTCGGTTCGCGAGAGGGCGTCGCGGCCGTCCTTTTTGCGGGTCCTGGTCCTTCGGTTTCGGTCCTAGGCCGTTTTCCTTAAAAAGGGTGGTTTACTAAAGCGAGGTTTGTCCACCGCCGATTGTGGGAAATGCCCCAGTGGAAGAATACAAGCGATTGAGAGTCCTCAGTCGCGCCACGACACAATTCCTGGGACCTTAGCGCCGCGAGTCAGCGTGACTGCTGCGTCCTGATCCTCCTACGCCGTGCAAGAGCACAACACGGTGGTCAAAGTCGTTGCGCACGTTTTGCACGAACGTGCGCGGCGCCCTGGCGAGAGCCACGTCTCGAGAACCGCCCGCCCTCCGTCCGTGAAGCTGTTGCAGTGTGAGCAGCGCCAAGGGCCGCCCGGCCTCCATCCTTGAAGCTGCCGCAAGCTGTTAGAGCGGAGGCGCAGTGTGCGCGGCGCTTCGGCGAGACCCGCATTCTGCAGTGGCCCGCCCTGCATTCGCGAAACTGTTGCAAGTGCATTCCATGCGCCTGGGTCATACATGGTGAGGGGGCCTCTCAGGCGAGTCGCCCGGCCCGCCCTACGGACACGTCTGGGGGTGCGGCAGGGAGGGCTCATGTGTAAGGAACAGGGATGGGGGCGGAGGGCGAGGAGGAAGGTGGGAGGAGGAAGGAGAGACGGAGGACGAAGGTGAAGATCGAGGATTGAGGCTCGAGGGTATTCCCCAAACGGTGCTTGCAGTGATTTTATCTTGAGGTACCTGAGCTCTGGTACCAGTCTGGCCGGCTCGTCGCCGCCCGTCGCCGCCAGTCGCCGCTTGGCCCCAGTGCCGCTCTGGCCGGTTCGTTGCCACTCGTCGCCTCCCGTCGCCGCGTGTCGCCGCCCATCGCTGTCGTCGCCGCCCGGCATCGCTGGGCATCGCTTTGCATGGCATTGCTTTGCATTGCTGTGCACTTTTTTGCATTGCTTTGCACTGATTTGCATTGTTTTGCATTGCATTGCACTGCTTTGCAGTGCTTTGCATTGCTTTGCACTGCATTGCTTTGCGCTGCTTTGCGTTGCGTTGCTATGCTTCGCATCGTTTTGCACTGCGTTGCATTTCTTTGCATTGCTTTGCATTGCAATCGCATTGCTTCGCATTGCAATCGCGCTGCAATCGCATTGCTTTGCATTGCGGTGGATTGCTTTGCATTGCAATTGAATTGCAATCACATTGCAATCGCATTGCAATCTCTCTGCAATCGCATTGTTTTGCGTACCATCGCATTGCACTGTTTTCCATTGATTCGCATAGCTTTGCATTGTATTGCATTGCATTGCGTTGTCACCACCTACCCAACGACCCCAACCGAACCCGAAGTCTCAATTTGCCCTCCATTTCCAGTGGGTGGGGGGGTTGGGATCGCATGGAGCCCATACCCCCCCCCCAACCCGAAATTCTGGTCCAATTCGGGTCTTCGGGTTGGGTTGGGGTCGTCTGGTAGGTAGTCAATTGCGGTGCATTGCTATGCATTGCCTTGCATTTCGTTACATTGCTTTGCATTGCTTTGCCATGCGATGCATGTCTTGGCATTGCAATCGCATTGCTTTGCGTAGTGTTGCATTGCTTTGCATTGCATTTCTCTATCCATTGCTTTGTATGGCCTTGATGTTTCTCGCGTTGCTGTGTATTGATTTGCATTGCTGTTCCTTGCCTCGCATTGCTTTGCACTGCTTTGCATCGCCTTGCCTTGCCCTGCTTTGCATCGCCTTGCCTTGCGTTGCATTGGTTTGCAATGCTTTGCATTGCATAGCATTACAATAGCATTGCAATAGCATTGCAATAGCATTGCAAGTGCATTGCCTTGCATTGCTTTGCGCTGGTTTTCATTGTTTTGCATTGTTTTGTATTGCTTTGCATTGCTTTGTATCGCATTTTCTTGCTTTGCATTACATCGCCAGGCAATCGCATTGCGTTACATGGCATCGCATTGCATTGCTGTGCAGTTGCCTTGCAGTTGCTCTGCATTGCTTTGCATTGCTTCGCATTGATTTGCCTTGTTTGGCTTTGTTTTGCATTGCTTTGCACTGCTTTCTATCGCTTTGCGTTGCGTTGCTTTGCTTTGAATTCCATTGTACTGCATTGCTTTGCGATGCTTTGCGTTGCTTTGCATTACGCTGCTTTTCATTGCCTTGTCTTGCCCTACTTTGCATTGCGTTGTGATGCCCTGTATCGTTTGCAATGCGTTGCATTGCTTTGCATTGCTTTGCATTGCGTTGCTTTGCGTCGCGTTGCAATCGCATTGCTCTGCATTTCATCGCATCGCAGCGCATTGATTGCATTGCATTGCATTGCGTTGCATTGCATTGCATTGCATTGCATTGCTTTTCATTGATTTGTATTGCTTGTCATTGCTTTGCATTGCTTCACATCGCTTTGCATTGCTTTGCATTGCTTTGCGTTGCATCGCATTTCGTTGCATCCTGTTTGATTGCTTTGCAGTGCTTTGCATTGCAAACGCATCTCAATCGCATAAGTTTGGATTGCTTTGCATTGCAATCGCGTTGCTTTGCATGGCTTCACATTGCTCTGCCTTGCTTAGATTCCACATCGACTGCACCAAATGGATTGCACCACCTGAATATGACCGCATATATTGCAAGACATCGCTGTCTGGGGTCCACGCTGGCAAACATATGTGTTTTACGATTTTGTTTTTTTTGGGGAGATGACGAAAGAGCGCGAAGCCAAGCGCGGTTCGCGCAGCGCCCAAGCGCCAACCTAGAGGGCCTGGCCAGCGCCAATGTGGTGCCCAGGTGTGGGTCTGGGAGTGTTCTTGGGCGATCTCTGGCGGGTGGGGCGGGGCCTTACCCAGATCTTTGACAGTGTGGTTTTGTTCAGTCTCGGCGGTTTTGCAGTACTCGATTTTGTCCTCCTGGGGCCGTTATCTGGCCCTGGAGCCATCAAAGATAGATCCGGGACGGACCTGGCCCCGAGAAGGGGGTCGAGAGGTCTGGGGCCGCGGACAGGAACTAAAATCAGATTGGAGGGTGTCTGGGTACCCAGCTCAATCCGAAGCCCCCCTCTGACGGATATCAGAGATTGCCAAGGACCCCCCGCATTGATGACCGTTAGCAGCGTGCCCGTGACCTATACTCCTGCGGACTGGGGGGCCCCGGTGTCCCGGGCGGCGCTGGGGTCCAGGAGGCTTGCTGCCCATCGAGGCTCCATCGCCTCACTTCGGCTGACACTCCTGATTCGATCGTGAGTCTTTGCCCCCTGGCCTTGCCTCCTCTTTGCTTCTCCCTCCCCTCTCTCCTCCTCCCCTGCCTCTAATCATTATCCTTTTCCTCGTTACAAGCGGGCCCCTAAGGCCCGAGTGACGGTTGAAGAAGAATCTAGCCGTACGTTTGTTTGTCCACGAGCCTGCCTGTGATAGCTTCTCATACAGTGGTGCCGATCATGGAGGGTGATTTCCCCTTTCGCTGCGGCCCACGGTCTCTTTCGCAGCTCCCTGGAAATCTGGCCACCTTCCTGCTCCAAACCTGCAAGTAACAGCAACAGCTACCGAGACACGTGTCCTGCTTCCTCCCCCCCCCGCACATTCACGGGGCCGTCCGCAGGCGGGGACGGTGTTTTTCTTTTGCTCGAGGCTGCGGCCGAAACCGGGCCCAGGCTTCTCAGGATAATCGCTTCCCGATCCCAGACCGTGGCTGTGCCCCGCGCCAGTGGTGGCAGGTACGTTGCTGCTCGTGCTGTTCCTGGCCAACGTCAGCACCGCCGATGCCGACAGATGGCTCCACCTCGCTCTCCTCCCCTCCCCCTCTCCTGGAGGAAGAGACGGATGAAGAGGAGGAGGAGGAGGAGGAGGAGGAGGAGCAGGAGCAGGAGCAGGAGAAGGACGAGAGCAAGCCCAAGCTGCATTAGCGATGCTGCAATACGCCTTCCTGTCCCGAGCACCCTCCTCAAAAGCCACTGCACGCCATCCTTATCAGTACAAGAGGCGCCCCCTTCAAAGACCAGTGCCCCTACCGGCCCGCTATCCAGGCGAGATCCGTGCTTTGAAAAGGACCTGCCTTGCTTAATTTAAGCGCGGGGTCAGGACTGCGAGAAGGTATGATCATACGTTTCAGCGATGTGTCCAGCGATATTCCTTTTGTATAAAGGACCGCTCCCATCCGTGAAACCGTTGCACTCGTTTACGCTTCTGGCCATGAACTTCGAGGACGTCCCAAGCGAAGCCCTCATTTTGAAAAGGGGCCTCCCTCTTGTGCAGCTGCCAGGCATTTTAAAGCTGCGGGTCGTTCAGTATCTGGATATTGGCTTGTGATCGACCCTGTGTTTGCCTTGTCCCTTCGCCCCAGATGAAACATTGGCAGGTACATGGCGGTCCATTTGTTTTGTTCTCCAACGCTTGTGCCGCTTTGTGCCTGGTTCCATCTTTGAACATCCGGGGCAGGTAGGAGGGGACGTCAGGGAGTTCACGTTTTCTTATCTTCCTCCCTCGCCTACTGACCGCTATCCTGCCCCTCGTCCCCAGTCCTCCCCTTGCCGTGAACAAAATCAATTTCGGCGTTTTGGAATTTTTAGTTCCCAGCAATCCTGTGTTGGGTCCTCGCTTTGAAGAGACAGCGCCCCGCGTTCTCCTCCTCCTCCTCCCCCTCCTCCTCCTCCCCCTCCTCCTCCAATGCGTGTCTCTGCCCTCCGCATGTCCATTTCGGCACTCTGCCCACCGCATGCCCATGTCGGCACACCCCTCACACAGTCCGTGGCCCCATAGGGAGCTCCACCCAAGGCCCCAGTGGCTGCGTTCACAGGCGTCCACCCCGCCCACAGCATGCCCATTTCGGCACGCCCCTCACACGGTTCGTGGCCCCATAGGGAGCATGGCGCCCAAGGCCCAGGTTGTTGCGTTCACAGGCGTCCACCCCGCCCACCGCATGCCTATTTCGGCACACGCCTCACACGGTCCGTGGCCCCATAGGGAGCTCCACCCAAGGCCCCAGTGGCCGCGTTCACATGCGTCCACCCCGCCCACCGCATGCCCATTTCGGCACACCCCTCACACGGTACACGGTTCATCCCTCACGCGTTTCGTGGCCCCATAGGGAGCTCCACCGACAGCGGCACCCACAACGCGTTACTTACAACTGCATATGGTTGGGTCCTTCGCGAGGATATTTCTGCTGGTTTTGCCGTTTTCGGCTTCAGGGGACCTTGCCCGGGCCCCGGAACCGTCAAGAAAAGACCCTTGATCAAACATTGGTCCCGGGGAAGTGATCTGAACGCAACAATCACGACGTCGGAGATCTGGGCCCCACCCGTTGTCCCTCGTCGTCAGCCTCGTGCCACCCCCTCCCCCATGCCCCCCGACGACGTGGCTTGTTCACAACGCGGGCCCCAGAGGTCTCAAGCCTTGACCTCTTCCACGGGACCAGCTTCTCACCCCGAGCCGTCTTGAGGGTCTCTGGCGGCGCCTCCGCCCCGGGTGCGGCAGGGGAGGATCCAGCGCCGATCCAAGACGTTCGCGCACACCTCCCACCGTTTTCGAGGACATGGGAAACTATGCGTTCAGGCGCGTGGAATGCGGTGGGGACGTTGGTTAAGGAACGTGCACGGGAGGCTTCAGACCCTGGAGGTTTCCTTATCTGAGGAGGGCGGTGGTGATATCCACGGCCGGGCCTCGATTGGTGTTCCACCAGCTTCCAGACCCTGGATTCCTTATCTAAGGGTTCCTCATCCAATGCCCCCACCGCAGTCCGTAGCCATTTTGGCTCAAGGCCATGAACCGTCCCGACGACCGCGAGTCTTTCGGGGCGACTTCTGAGCGCGAGGGAGGTTCCGCTTTGAGGCCACCTTCCTTTCCTAAGTGTGTCAGCTGCCACAGCAGCACCTTCCAGGACCTGCGGGTCAAGTCTTCTTCTGAGTCGGCGGGTCCGCCCCCGCCGTCTCCTGCCTGCTGCTTGCCCGCAGCTGAGCAGCGCGCCCGACCGTACCAGCGATGGGGCCTAAGGCCGTGCCTGGCTTCGTCGTGTGCACGGGCTGCCGGTACCGCTGGAATTTCCGCTCGAACGCGAAGTGCTGGCTGTGCGGGATCGGGCTGGAGCTGGCGCCCTCGAAGCCTTCGCCCCGCGTTGGGGTCTGGGCGGACGGTGGCGGCGGCGGACCCCAACTCGCACATCGCGGCGGCGGCGGCGGAGGCCCACCGAAGAATGGAGCCAAGGACGGCAAGGGCGGCAAGGGCCGCGGTGCAGCCTACCGTGGTGGCGGCGGCGCAGTCTCCCGTGGCGGCGGCGGGGGTGGCGCGGGCTGCCGTGGCGGAGGCGCCTTCCCGAGGGCCCCCTGGTCGGCCCTGCCCGAGAGCGAGCTCGACGCGCTCCTCGCCTGTGGGGACCCAGCCATCGCAGCCAGGCTGCAGGAGGCGGTCCGCGAAGCGTGGAGCTATGTCGCGCCCGCGGTCGCCCCAGTGCCGAAGCCGCTCGAGCAACGTCTGGAGTCGGCCACGGCGAAGCGGATCAACCTCCAGCGCCAGCTGGATGAGGCGGCGGACGCGCTCGTGGCGGCGGAGGACCACCTCGCTGAATGCCGCGGCTGGCGTGACGAGGCTGCGGGCAGCCTCGCGGAGGCCAAGGAGGAGGAGAACGCCCTCCTGCGCCAGCGTGCCCAAGCGGCGGGCGTCGTGGGAGCCCAGCCCGACGGCGCGAGGCAGCTCACCTTCAACTTTGACGCGGAGTCGTTTGACAACTTCGCCGAGCTGGAGGAGGAGGCGCAGGCCGCCCTCAGGCGCCTCTGCGATGAGGGGCTCCAGATCATGCAGGGCGCGCAGGCTACGTTCGAGCGCAACTGCCAGGAGCACCAGCAGCGCATCAAGCGCCAGATCGCGGAGGAGGTGGCCAAGAAACGCAAGCGCACCGAGGAGGGGCCTGCAGCAGCCGTGGCCCCTGGCACCCCCGTGCAGGGCGCGGGCGCCCCGCCGCAGCCTGCAGGGCAGGCGGCCGCCCCTGCTGCCCCCGCCGCCCCCGCCGCAGACGCTGCGCCTGGAGCTGGGACTCCCCCAGCGGCAGCGATGGAGAGCCGAGCGGCAGACGAGGCGGCCCGCCAGCGCGCTGCCGACCAGAAGGCCGCTGCGGCGGCCCCTCCACCTCCTGCTGGCGCTGCTGCTGGTAGCGGCCTGGCCCGCGCGTAGCACCCTGCTGCCAGGCGGCGGCCCCGACAGCGCGGCGCCGCCCGCCCCTGTTGGGGCTGAGGGGACAGAGGCGGCGGCGCCCAGCCGCTCAGAGGCGGCGGCGGCGCCGGGTGGCGGCCTGCCCGCCTACAAGGCGGCCAACGTGGCGACCGACGCCTGGGTCGAACTTCCCTTCATTGTGCCGCTGCTGCGCCAGGAACGGCGCTTCGGCGTCGTGCGCCACGACACCAAGTTCGAGGCGCTCAGCAGCAGGACAGAGCCAAGCGCTGCGGCTGGCTTGGCTGGGCCCGACCGAAGGACTGGCAGTCCTCAGCCTAGCCAGGGGCCCACATGCCATAGTGGGTACCCAATTCAAGTTGACGAGGCTACGGGCGAGGGCGTGAGACCCCCTGAGGTTCGGAGCCCCAAGGCGGCGAGCAGCCGCCCGCCTGGCGGCCCCGCGGCCGCCGCGGCAACCGAGCAACCTGCGGCCCAGCCTCAGCCTGGGCGACCGCAGGCCAAGCCCCTCCAGCTGGCCAAGCAAATCTGGCCTACGGGACCGAAGCCAACTAGCTTCGTCACGCTGAACGTCTCGACCTGGTCAGAGAAGAAGGTGGAGATGGAGCGGATCCAGGATGGAGGAGGTGACGACGTCATCCTGGCGCAGGAGAGGCGATGCGCTTATAGCCAGAAGGCGGCCAACGCCTGCTGCTGGGCCAGGAGCAACAGCTTCAGCGCCGCCTTCGGCAGCGTCCACAGCACGGGGCAGGCGGCGCAGGCGGGCTCGGAGGGCGTCGGAGTGCTGGAGTCAACGACCTGGGGCGTGGCGGCGACCGACCACGACGGGCACCAGCACAGTGCCCGCATCCTGGCCCGAAGGGTGGCCTTCGGTGATCTCGCGGTCACGGAGGTCAGCGCCTACCTCGAGCTCCCGTTCAGGAGGCTCAAGGAGTCCGTCGAGACCGCTGAGCTCCACCTGACCGACCAGTTCGGCATCTCCGAGGGTGAGTGGTACCAGGGCAGGGCCAAAGGACCCCGCTCTGTCAAGAAGAAGCTGGCGGACCAGCAGCGCAGGAAGGCGGTCAGGAAGCTCAGCCCCCTCACCAGTTGCCGCCTCCGCCTCGGGAGGATCGCCAGACAGCTCAGAGCGGCTGCTGCGGGCTGCTCACCCCTGTGGGGCACGTAGGCTACATGAAGCACCTGGTGCAGGTGGCCAGGAGCTTGGGGCGCAAGTTCGAGCAGGCGGACAGCACCGCGTTCGAAGACAAGAAGCTCGTCTCGCTGAAAGAGGCGACCCAGGTGCCCACTGTGCAAGGGCAGGCCTTCCTGCGGGCGATCGAAAGAGCGTTGGCGTCACACAGGGGCCTCCACGGCGACGGCGACTACCAGCAGGACGAGTTCGGCGGCTGCTTCGCCCTGCGGTACTCCTCCGCCCTCTTTGCGGAGAAGGCCAAGGAGAAGGACAGGAAGGAGGCAGCGGTCCAGGAGTACGACGCCAGGCCTGCGACTCTGTGCCAGCTCCGCGGCGAGGAGAGCGGGACCCTGGCCCGCCGCCACCACAGGTGCCCTGCCTGGGGGGGCGGGAGGCAAGGTCGCAGCCCCGCCGACTTGCTGCGAGCTGCCGAGTTGGTGACAGAGTTCGACGGCGAGGTCGACTTCCTGCACGCCGCCGCGGCGGAGCCCGCCCCTGGGACAGGTGGATTCAGCCCGCCGAAGTCGCAGTCCCAGGGGCGCGGCGAGTTCGGGAAGTTGCACGACGCGGAGGTGCGCGGGCCTGTCGTGTCAGCGGCTGGCAACATGCAGATGCCCGTCGCGGAGGCTGACGTTGGCGACGGCGAGGCGCAGGCCGCGGCGGCTGTCGGCGGCCCCCTCCTCGCCACGGCGGCGGCCCTGGCAGCAGTGGCGGCAGCGGCCGCTTCCTGCTCGCGGCCGTCGCCCGCGAGGCGCCGCCCCGCCTCGGCCGATAGGCCCGCGGAGGTGCTGCGCCGAGCACCCCAGCGCAGGGTGCAGGAGCAGTCGAGGCGCCGCGAGGCCTCGGCGCCCGCGCCCAGCCCGCGGCGGGCGGCGGCAGCGGCGGCTTGCAGCGGCCCAGCCCCTGAGGTGGCGGCTGATGCGGCCCGTCCAGCGGGATCGAGGGTCTACGGCCACCTCATGCGGGGGTCGCGCGTCGAGAGCAACGGCTCCGAGCCCCCCCTGGTCTGCTCAGCGTGCTGGGGGTGCTGCCGCCTCCCCGGGTGCGCGCATCGCGGCCTGGCCATGCCGCGTGGGGCCAGCGCGGCGGCTGGGCAGCCCACGTCCCTGAGGGGCTCCCGAGCCCAGGCGCGGACGGACTTCGCACGGGGCACCCTGCCTGCGTCCAAGGATCCGTTGGCGCCGCTGGCCCCGCCGATGGAGAGCACGCGCCTGTGCTGGGCGACGGCGCTCCAGGCCAGGCTGGGCCGCGGGGCGGAGGAGCAGGCGCTCGCGGCGGCGCCCGTGCCATCGCAGCGGCAGCCTGCGGCCGCCCCGCCCCCGCCACCTGCGGCTGGCGATGGGGGCCAGGCGGCAGCGCCGCCGTGCGCCGCGGCGCCGCGGCGCCCGGTCGCGGCGGCCCCGCGGGCGGAGGCCGAAGAGCCGCGGCAGGTCCGCCCGGGGCTCGAGGGCGCCCTCTGCGCCCGCGGCTTCGCAGTTGCAGCGGCGGCCCGCGGGCGCGAGAGAGCCGCGGGGTCGGCGGCCGCCCGCGCACGCCGCGCGGCGGGGCTCGCCGTGCGCTGATCGAAGAATTTACGCATGAAACCGCCGAGCCCGCTCGGCGCCCACATAGATGAAAAAAATGCCCCCACCGCACCGCGCGGCCGCGAGGCCCGCGCCCAGCGCGCGGCGGCTTGGCGCGGGGGCAGTGGACCCCAGGAGGGCGAGCCATGGCCTTGAGCGGCTTGCCCCTGGGAGTCCCGCCCGCGCTACGCATGATTGAATTTGACAAGGGCGCCCGCGCGCCTGCGAAGAGTTAAAAAACGCTCCCACCGTAGCAGCTGGTCCCGCCTTCGTCAGGTTTCGACGTCAGGTTTCGACGCGCTCCGTCACCAACTGAGGCGGCAGTGGCTTCATGCCTCAGGGGGGTACCTGCGCCGATGCGTGGATGTGGCGCCCGCGCGCCAGACCCACGGATCCCTCATCCATGTCGGCGTCCGCCCGAAGTTTGTGTACGCGTTGTCCATTTCCAATTATTCGAGGGTTCTTTGATTTTTTGGGGGACCAAGATCCTTTCATTTCTAATTGTTCTGTCCTGGGCCTCTTCCTGGCCACTATGGGGCCAGGAACAATTAGCCACGAGCACAATCAGAAACGAACGCGATTAGAAATGAACGACGTGTAAATTTGTGTTTCGTCTACGGGGTCCTTCTCAGTTGCAGCCTGACGCGTGCTGGCCGTCGTGGCGGTTCGGCTCGCTAGCTGACGGGTGCGGGGCGACACCCCTCCCCACGGGCGAACACTTCAATCCGATCAATGCGGAGGTTCATCCGGCGCAATCGATCTGCAATGTATGGCAGCCCCCCGCACACAGTCAGCGGACGAACAGTTGTGTAAAAAGACTTGTCCGCCCCGAGAGAGTTGTCCCGTTGTTCTTCTTCCGCCAGGACAGCCATACTCTCGGAGGAGGAGGAAGAGGAGGAGGAGGAGGAGGAGGAGGAGGAGGAGGAGGAGACGGAGGAGGAGTATGATGACGAGGGGGCTGGCTGCCCACGGACGCCGGTGGGCACCCGGCGGAGGTTAGTCGGCGCGAGCGTGCACCTCGTGATCGTCTGGTTGTTAGTGCCCTTGGTCCTCGCGCTTATGTGGGCGGGCCGCTCAGCACGGCCCTCCTGCATCCTCCTCCTCCCCTTCCTCCTCCTCCTCCTCCTTCTCCTCCTCCTCCTCCTCCTCCTCTGCCTCCTCTCCCTCTTCTCCCTCCTCCTCCTCCTCCTCCTCCTCCTCCTCCTCCTCCTCCTCCTCCTCCTTTCTGACGCTGCCAGACTCTACGCATGATGCTCGCGGCGCAGCAGTAGCAGTAGCAGTAGCAGTTCTCTTGCTAGAACTCTTGCGTCAAAGAGCGGCAACCGGTGACCGCTCCTCTGCGCTGCGCAGGGGAGGGCAAAAGGAAACCACTCCTCTGCGCGGCAGAGAGGGGCAACAGGTGACCACCCCTCTGCAGCAGTGTGCCTTCGCTGTCCGACCGCCGTCTTCTTTCCCCCTGTCCTCGCGTGCTGATCCCGGCTGACCGCTTTTAAAGCACGATGCAAGCGTGATGACAGGTTGGTCGACGCAGCGAAACAGTGGTGCTGACAGAATTCACCAAAGCGTTGAAGGTAATGGTGCGCATCCTCCCTTTGCATTCGCCCCTCTCGCCCAGTTTTCCTCATCTGGCTAGAGTGAGCGGGAGCAGTTTGCAGGGAAGGTGAGGTAAGTTGCGCTGTGATGTTGTGGAACTCGCCCCTGGGTACGCTTTACCTCCTCCTCCCCCCTCCCCCCCCCTCCTCATCCTTCTCCTCACCCTCCCCCGCCACCACCACCTCCTGCTCCTCCTTCTCCTCCTCTGCCATGAAAGCCGCCGCAGCGGCCCGAGACACCATCCCGTCGCGGCTCATCGCACTCCAGAGGAACGGGATTCCGCGACGGCGGCCCGATGAGCTGCTCGCTGGGTTTGCCGAGCCCGTGAGGTGTGGCGGACGGCTCTGCAGCGGTCGGCTTCTCGCCGTGGGCTGTCGCAGGCGGCGTTCGGTATCGTCAGTTGGATCATGTCGAGTTCGCAAGCCACCCGCCCCCCAACAGTGCGGATTTACAAGTATACATGCATCTTCATTCAACCCTATGCACCTCGTAGGGCCCATGAGGTGCGCGGATCTCCCAGGGGCTTCACATTATCGGGGCCATCATGCTGCCAGGCGCCTGCAGGAGAAGTGGGCGAGGACTCCCACCAACTTGTTCTGCATGAGCGGCACTGCGAGATATCTTTCGGCTGGACGGGTGGGCAACAAAGCGTGCGAGGTCTCGATCATGGTGCGCAACCGCATCTTCCCGCGGCGCAGGCCCATGCGCATCTAGCACCCACCTGCGGCGCTGGCGGGGCGAGTAGAAACTGTCAGACTGAAAGCGGCGACGCTCGACATGCTATTTATGCCACCTCAGCTCCCCCGTTCACATCAAGGGCGGGGCGGGGCGGCAGCCTTCCGAAAGACTTACAAAGGCCATCGTCGCCTGGGTTCGCAAGACCATCGAGTCAGCAGGCGCTCGCTGTACCCCCCATCGCCGGCTGTGATTTCAACGACGGTGCCGGCGCTCTGCCCGAGACAGCCTGGGACGAGGCGGAGCTGCTCTACCGAAAGGAGGAGGCTTAGGACATGGCGGTGGGCACGTGCCCTCCTTCGGCGGAGTGCGTGGCGGGCAGATTTGGTACCAGATGCTGAGGGGCTGCGACCTTGCGGCCTGCAGCACCTTCTACGAGGCAGGCCCGACCTACTACGGCAACGTGGACGCGAGCTCGCGGATCAACTTCGTGCACACACCACAATTGCTGATGGCGCGCGTGAAATCATGCTGTTTTTTTTGGAATCGGTAGGTCGACGTCTTCAGAACCATCCAGACCGTCGGCGACCGCGACCATGGGCCCGTTTTCGTGGAGTTCGCTTGCTGCTTCCAGGCGCAGATGGGCTCGACCCCAAGTTGGAGCTTGGACGAGATGGTCTGGCGGGGAGAGAAGGCTGCGCTCAGATGCTGGAGGAGATCCACAACGAACTGCTGAACATCGACGGGCCAGGGTGGGTGCGCCTCTGCACGCGCCCTATTACCGGCGAGCCGTGGAACTCCATGGCCACGCTCCTTGACAATGAAGCGCGGGAGCTGTTCTGCAAACCCACGACGACGGAGCAGACTATGTTCAGCTTAGAGAAGCATTCGCATCGGTCCGATCTCCTAGAACACGACCGGCTATAAAAGGCGATATTACGGGCGTTTACACGCGCGACGACATCAACGATGTGGAGCTGGACTTGGCGCGCGCCATCTTCAGGACCAGGCCCCCCCCAAGCAGACCGCAAATGAAACCATTGTGGCTTTGGTGTGCGAACTCGATAAGGCTCGGCATGCTCACGATCACATCGCGGCGCAGAGGTTGATCGGATGACTTTCACGGTGTGGCCGTGGACCGCAGCGGCGGAGATACTGCGTGGCCAAGTGCGGAGGGGATCTCCGCCTCCTTGCAGCCGGCCGCGGCCCAGGTACCCCCGAAGGTAACCCCCGAAGGTACCTCCCAAAGTATCGTCGAAAAGAAAGTACCTCCCGAAGGGCCTACCGAAATATTGTCGAACATTAAAAGTACCCCCAAAGTACCTCCCGAAGTACCAAAGTACCTTCCGAAGTACCGTCGAAAATCAAGGACCTCCCGAAGTACCTCTCCAAATTCGGATAGGGAGTACAGTGCCTCCCGAAGTGCCACCCGAAAAAGTAGCAGCTGGCGTTCTCCGCTGGCGAGGGCGCGGAAGTCAAATTGCGCGCCCAAGAATATCGCCCCTTCCAGTGCGGCGCAGCGCAATCGGGCGAATGACAGCGCCGCGGTGGCGCTGCGAACGCCCGCATCCAACGCCAACCGCTGGCGACGCCATTGCGCGCTTGCCCCGCTGCGCAGGATCCCGCCTCGAAGAGCGCCAACCGACAGAGCGCCGTCTGGCGCGCCAGCGCTTGCTTGAATGCCCGGATCGCAGCGGCGCCCCGAACGACGACGTGACGCGGCGAGCGCGCGCGCGGGGAACCTTGAGGACGTGGCGGAGGTCCGGTATTGGCGCTGAGAATGCGAGCGGGGGATACAACCACACCAAGCGAACCTCTATTCGCCTGGCCTTCTGCAGCCCATCGGCCGAAAGCAACCCCCCGCCCAGCGACGCAGCCCAAACCATTCCCTGCCCGTAGGCTCTGAATGCGCCTCGTGCCCTCGGCTGAAATGAGATGTGGGGATACCGAGTCCCACCGGCGGTTCACCGACTCCCCATCTCGTTCCCGGCCGCGCCTCGGAGAGAGCCTTTTGTCGCCGAATCTCTGCGCCCTGCGCCAGACGAGCGCGCGTCGCAAGCTGGCGCGTCCCGCGCGCCCAGGCAAATCCGCCACGCGCACCAGCTTCGCGCGCACGCAGAAAGTGCACTTCTCACGCGCGGCCGCGGACGCGCACTGAAGAAGAGCTTTGCAAGCCGCGCGCGCGCGAACCCTGCCACCGCGCGCGCTCCGATGCCTTGCGCGCCCGCGCGGATGCAAGCTCGATCCCATTGCGCACGTTCGGGCGGCGCGCTCCATTCAGACGCGCATCTCGCTTCAAAGCGCCGAAAAACCAAGCGCGCCTGCCCGGCGATTGCGCCCCGCCACCGCTAACCGCCGACGCCGCGAGCCGCTGAGCGTTCGCCGCGCCAAGGCGCGCGCGGGAAACTGAGGGCTGGAGATAGAGGGGCGCGCCGCGCAGCTGTGCTCGCATGGCGCGTCGCAGGCCAAGCCAACCAGGCGCGCGCGAAAGGCGCGCTGGCGGCAGGCGCCTGCGCAATGGGTGCTCGGCGCGGGCGCGCAGGAGCGCGAGAACGCGCCCGCGCGTGCGCCGATGGGCGACGCGAGGGTGGCGCGGGCGCGCGCGTGCGCGCGCGGTGGCGGCGGCGGCGGCGGCGGCGGCGGCGGTGGCGGGGGGGCGGGGGCGGGTGGGTGGGGGGGGGGGGGGGGGGGGGGGGGGGCAGACGTGCGCAGGCGCGGCTGCGACGGCGACGCGGGCGCGTTCGCGCGAGGCGGGGCGTGGGCGGGGGGGGGGGGGCGGGCGCGGCGCGAGGCAAGCGGCGGCGCTTCAAAGTTGCGAACGCGCGCCCCGCGCGCGCGCAGCACGGATGAACGGGGATGGGGGCGGATGCGCGTCGGATCGGCGGGCGCGCAGGGGAGTGCGAGCGGGCTGGCCGCGCGCAGACGGCGCGGCGTCGGGGCGCGCGATATCGTTGCAATTGCAGCGGCGGCGCCAGGGCGCGCGCGCGCGTTGGGCGTCAAGCGGGCCGAGGCAACAGCGCTGGCAACGCAACGCGGGCGCGACGTGGGCGGGCGCGCTAGGCGGGCGGCAGCGGGCGAGAGGCGCTCGGATGGGCGTCTCCGCGCCAATTTGCTGGATAACTGCTGGGCTCGGAACGCACGCGTGCATGAGCGCGTCGTTTCAGATGCTTGCAGGCGTGGCGGACGCGCGGCGGCGGGGCTCGGCGGCGCTGCGCGCCGCGATGGTTTGTTTGCAGCTGCGTCCGGGAAGTTTCTGCTGCAGGCGAAGGCCCGAGGCGCTTGGTCAAAGGCCGCTGGTGCGGATGCACAGGGGTGCATCGGAGGCTGGCGAGCCCGATGCAGAACTAAGCAATCGAAGCTGGAGCTGGCACGTGGCTTAAGCTGACGCGCGGTGGCGATAGTGGCGGTGGCGCGCGTAGTTGGTGGCGGTGGTGGCGGCGGCGTGTGTGTGTATGTGTGTGTGTGTGTGTGTGTGTGTGTGTGTGTGTGTGTGTGTGTGTGTGTGTGTGTGTGTGTGTGTGTGTGTGTGTGTGTGCGTGTGTGCAAGCGTTGGCTCCGCCAGCGTTGAGCTAGCAATGCCAGTGCGCGATCGCGCAAGGGGCGATGGGCCCGCGCCATTGCGCATCGATGCGCCCGCTACAAGCCCCACCGAGCCAACCGATGTTGGCACTGCCAACAAGCCTCGATATCTCTGCCCCTGGCGCACAGAATTGCGCACGGCGCTGGCAGGGGGTTGGCGGCAACTGTAGACCTCCAGGCTGCCGCGTACCAGAAGTTCTGCAGCGGCAGAAAGCAAA